ATCGGGTCCTGGGACTTGCCGATGACGAACAATGACAACTGTTTGATACCAACGGAAATCTTCTTAATGCCCTTAAAACATCTAGGGTTCTACGACCTCCCAACGATGAGAAGTGGCAACTTCTCGTCACCGACTGTGTTGGCCCCAACCATAACTGTAATTTTTTCTTTGCTATGCTTGCCCCCTGAGCAGGTGTCGCCAGGGAAAGACAGCATACGGTCCAGCAGCATTTTGTCGAAGACCCCTGTTTCATTGCAGGTGAAGATATCTTGAGGTGCATACTCTTCCAACAACGATCTCAGCTTATTCAAGCGGTAGTCGGTGATTGTGGCAGGATTAACGGCTCCACTTTCCCCGCATACTTTCTTGGATGATTCCAATTTTCGTGTCTCTTTTTGAAATTGTGGAACCATCCATCTGTGAACTTCACATTCATCCTCATTGCAAGGGTCTCCACTTTCTGTTTCAGTGCGTCACCCGAAACTGGAATATTCTTTGAGAGCACTCCTCTCAGCCACAGTTGCAGAGCCTCTTCCAGTTCCGGATGCTCTCCTTTTCTGTCATTTTTCTGTTCCTTGCCGTGAGAGCCTCCAAATGCGGAGAAATTCTTGGCCTTGTTCTTGATGTACCCAGAGAGCGTCTGCTTCGTCCACTTGAATTCCTTCACAACGTTGGCTTGTCTATGTCCGTTCTTGATGAGTTTGATGATTGCCGCTTTCTTTTGCTGCGTCATGGTGGCATGTTTCCCACATTTCTTCAAAGCATTCGGCGGCGTTGGATGAAGGGGTGGTGCCATCGCACTCAAAGTCTCCAAACCACATGGCGCTAAAGAAAAGATATTTTCTGCACACAAAACTGACAACCGTACCACCGTGGACGTGACAAATGGCGGGGAAGAAAGAATGCAGTTGCGCAAGGTTGCAAATGCTTCAAGATGGTAGTGACCACGACGAAGATAGCTTTACCACAACGGGCAAAGCTGTTTATTGGGAGAGTTTGGCCATTCATTGGTTTGAATAGGCGAGCATCTTGTGGCCAACCACAGGCCGCAAAACTGCCCCTAGTGGTGGTCGTGAGCTCTAAAAATGCGGCTCGACTAATTTAAGCCGTTTTAGCGTCGCTACAGTAAAAAGGTGTAACTCTTGGTGACTAAAAACTTGGCCCGTGTGAGGTTCTCGTCAAGTCCATATTCAACAATATAATAAACAAACGCACGTTCCGATCTAGAGCAAACTGCATAGTTGCGATCATTGCTAATGTAATGTAACGTAATGTAATATCTTTATTCGGCTCTGGAAAGCAGCGGCACCGCGGAAAGGCAACAGCTCGTACCTTGGAGGCCCTTGGTGCCGCGCCTAATGAATGTGATAATGCGGTGAGTAGACACATGAAAAATGACGACGAGATGGATTGTTGCTATTGCGGAGAATGTCAGTTTGATTTAAAGATGTCCACATTTCATTGAGGCGGGTCAGCAGCGGGCCATGGGTATCCGCAGCCTGCCGTTCGATCGGTGCACGGTTGCACAAAGGATCCCCAGGAGCATGATGGTGCTGTTGCTCACTGGGGTCAAAGCATCAGGCTCCAAGGGGGTAGCCTAGTCATTGTCGTTGTCATGCGTCGCGGTTCGCTGATTGGGTGACGCGTTGTCGCATACTTAGTTTACGCTTTAATTGCGAGGAAATATTCGACGCTGACGGCGGCCTTTGCTCTGCCTATTGGCCAAACTCTCCCAATATACGGCTCTGGCAATGGCCGGTATCTTGCTCCACCTAGCAACAAAGCAAAATAGTGTTGATGATGATGGTGGCTTGACTTAGCAGCGGCTAAGAAGCATTGCTACTAAGCGCTGTCAATCTAAGCCAAACTAAAATTCAAAATGGTGCTTGCTCGGGGAGGTTTTTCCCGGCAGACTGCTGCTTAAGGGACACTACAAAAAAAAATTTAGGCACTTATTTTTACAGCAAAGCTGTTAAGGGCTAGGTTCCCCAGAATCGTGTCCGTGTATGTCGACACAAACCTACCTGGACAGCTGCCGCCATCTATAAGCGACGGCGGCAAGCTAACAACCAGTATGGTTTCCGCCATCGCTCATAGATGGCGGCAACCTTTCCAGCTATAATAGAAGAATGGATAGTTGGGCGCTTTGGTGGGAATTCATTGTAGGAAGCAGCGCGAAAAACAGACAACGACGAAGAAGAAGCACACAGTGTATTGAGTACAGCTCCGCTGGTCTTCCTTCTTCACGAGAGTGGAAAGGCTGAATGATTTTTTGTCTACATGTGTTCAAAGGAGCAGTATCACATCGGACACACCAATATCTTGTTAAGAAAGACACGAAAAGGAATTTTTAAATGAATTAAACAATTAGCAAAGGGCACCTGGTGGATGTCGCTAACGCCTCTTTTGTATTGCCCGTCTAGGAACCTTGACAGGTGGTGACGGTTGCTGTCTCGCCTCCAGCCATTACGAGAGAAGAGGGGAAGTGGGAACTCCCCTCTTTCCGACAATTTCTTTTGTGTGACCCAGAAGTCGCTATTGTCCCTCTACAAGTTCATAGAAGATTCACCCGTCACTCAAAATTCATACAAAAGCAGCCGCTTCGGTGGCTGGAACGACTTGGGCATCCTCTCGATATCAGCCTTGCTGCAGCTTTGCTCGTCTTGAGACCAACTACGTCACGATTGCGGCAGATGTCACGTGCTCTCCGCCGGCTGCTCTCAGAGTGCTTGCCGGAGTGGTCCGTTTATAACAAAAAATACAGCCACCAGGCTCAAAATACAAACGTGCGATGGTCATTTACGGATATTGTGGATCATATTCAACCTATTTTTGAACACTACGGGTATACTGTCAAACCCTTAATGTTCGCGAGCCCTCAATTTTCGCGAATTTCACGAATTGAAGAATTTGCGAAATTTAAGGGCGCGCGAAAATTTCGGTTCTTAAGATTTTCAACGCAGGCGTCTGGAATTCACGAAATTTAGTGGTCGCGATTATGTCATCTGTGACCGATTCGCGAAAAATAGGGGCCACGAAAATAAAGGGTTTTACAGTATTTCAAATTTCGTTGAAGTATCCCTTTAATGTGTACAAACAGTCAAGCTTTTTGACTTCCGATCGTACGCAAAATTGGTTGTGAATATGTACTATTTCTACCATGAAGCTCAGGGTTCCTTCCTTAGGTACGAAATATAGAAAAAGTCCAAATTATCGGCATCCGAAAAGTCGATCGGCAACTGTATACATATCTGCCTGTCGTGAGTCTTTGTGTTTTTAAAAGGCGATGGGCTTCAGGCGATGTCGCAGAGTTTTCATCGTTAAGGAACTTGGATGAAGTTGTTCATTGCGGGTGACAGGGTGTTTACTGAAAGTGTGTCGTTCAGCAGCTGCAATGATGATGACAAGGAGAGTATTTTGAGCTCGTCCTCTTCAACCTTTAGATGAGTAAGTACTGCACAGACTGGGAAGCATGGTAAAGTGATGGCGTCGATGCTGCGAGGACATAAGCAGGCGCATTGTCTATGCGTCTGAAGTGTCGGATGTCAGCGTAGGATTGACAGAAAAGTCAGCTTACAGACTTCCTATTGTGTATAACGAGATCTTGTATTGGTTGTGTACTGGTGATCTCTCCTAAAGGTGAATTCCCTCTCCTCAGCAAAGTATTGGCAATGACAAAGAGCCACGTATACAGCCATTAACACATTTCCAAACATACTGTAGTGCATTTGCATGGGTTGCAAATTCTTTATAAACAATGCAAGCGACTGCCACTGACCATTGATGTGTCGCAGGAGGCAACTTTCGCAAGCAATGTTAGTCTCGCATCGAATGTTATAGACGGGTTGGTTTCCTCCAGAGATCTTTGCTTCTCAAAAGGCTTGCTCGGCTGCTTTATTCTTAGAAAGAGAAGCAGCTTGGCCCCATTGTGGAATAAAATGCCGGTGAAAATTTACCACTTTGATAAATTGGCAGGGCTTGGCAAGCAATATTGGCTCTGGGAAGCCTTGAATAGCTCCAACTTTGGTAGGAAGGATTCGAATGCCTGAGCTATTGAGGCGATGACTAAGAAAGTCTACTTTTGGCATTCCAAACTCGATCTTTGTGGTATTGATAGTGGTGTCATGTTTGGCGAGTCATTCGAAAATAAAACATAGGTCTGTCTTTGCTCTTCTGGAGATGAGATGGCGACCAGCAGCTCGGCGGCGTTAGCGTGTTCTCCGAGAAGCCGAGTACCGTAGAATACCGCGCATCTGCCCATTCCACATTAAGCGCCCATATCCAAATTTCTAAGATATGAAAAAATATGTACAGTACATTTATATGTAAAATTAATGACCAGACAAAGCGCCCATCCCCCATTTTTTCGCGATTATCTCTAAATTTTGAGTGGGCGCTTGCCCGGTATTTTACGGTACTTCTATGAAGCAATTGCGAGGGGCGTCAATCGTAGGGATATCTGGCAGAGGGTGGTTGCTGCCAAACGTTCGGAGGCTTCGGCTCTTTGCAGCAAGGTTGCCTTCAGCTGTTCGTAAGGTGTTGTAGGTGACGAAATGGACAGCATGTTGTATACTTTGTCTGCTGCAATTGGAAAAAGAGCGGAGATGGTGCGGCGGTATTTTCGTCCCCGACTTGCAACGTCTGCCACAAAATAGGACCGATACTCCTCTTGAAGCAGTGAGACTCGCGGCTGCAGTCCCAGTGCAACTAGAGCGGAACCGCAGCTGCTTCCACTGGAGCAGGAGGTCGAATTTGGTGGTTTTCCCCGACTCATTCTTAGAAACATGTCCTGGTCACCACCTGTAGATCCGAACAATGGGAATAGCCAAAAAAATTAATCTAGTTTGTGTTTTGCTTTGTGTTTTATGTGTTCCGAGATGGCCTTGGGACTCGGAGATGGCACTGGAACCTTGCATGCTGGGGACCTCTTTTTAGGTGCACTGTAAAAGTTGACACAAATTGCAACAAAAACTACCTGGCTCACGCTTTCATGCTCACAGGTTGCTCCAGAAGCACCCGAGGACATCCTCAGTGCCCCCTGGGTGGAGCTGAAGGAAGGCAGCTTCCCCATCAACCCCAGCGTTGTGGCACCAGAGGACGCGGCCGGCCACTGCAGCTTCATGGGTGGCCGCAGGGACAGCACTGACGCCAGCAGCACCCGAAGCGCAAGTACCAGTGGCGAGCTCGCCGGTGCCAGTAGCAGCTTCCCCGACCCGAGCCCAGGTGGTCGGGACAACAAGCCCACCAAAAGAAGACGCTCGGCAGACGACGGCTACGAAACGGAAAGGAAGCTTCATCGGCTGTTGGAAAGTGCGGTGCAGACTCTGACCGAGACGTGCGAGGGAACAAAGAAGGACGACTGTGATGCCTTTGGGGCCCTGATGGCGCAGACTGCGAGGCAGCTGCCACAGGGCCCCCACAGGCAGATGGGGACCCTGAAGGCCTACGAGGCCCTCGTCAGCTACAGTGTGTCTGTGAACGAACGTGTCGTGGGTGCTGTGCAGAAGCTGGTGAACGGCGAATGAAAAGGGACGGAATGTTGCACCTCCTGGTTTTTTTTCTTGGTTTGTGCCGAAACCACCGTGGTGCTTGGCACGGCAGAAACGGGCGAAAAATAAGGCCAGGGCACAGGATAAGCAAGATGGTTTTATTGGTTTTATGTCTCACTACTAGATACAGTCACGTCTCGTTAAAATGGATTTCATTAAAATGTTTTCCTCGTTATACGGCCAAAATATTTGAAGACGAATTATAGTCGGTTGCATATTAAGAATTCAGGGGAAGCTCCTTTTTTTCTCTTTAGCGCGGCAGACGCTCGAGAGGAGGGAGGAGTTTCCCCCAATCTCTTAACTTGACACCGACTATAGGTAAACACATGCATTTTTGTCTCGTTATTATGGACGATTTCTGGGGAACGGAGTTGTCCATATTAACGAGACATAACATATGTGTCGCATGCTTTTTAATTGAGTCGAAGCAATTTACCTTGAGCGAGGCGACAGCAGACGGGCCAGCTGATTTGGTGAAGGCATTAAATGAAGCCCTGTGGCTCGTTTCATTGTCTGTCCTTGCCTGTCCACAATTATTGGGTTTTATGTCTTGACCTATCTTTTCTGCTAGAGGGAGCAGCAGAAAGGACCCCAAGAGGCCATGGTGGCTACTGCTTTCCCATACATATCTTTGTGGCACACATATCAAACTGCACAGTATCTAATTTATGGAGTTATTCACGATATTATTATAAAATAATCGTTCTCTGCTTTATTAATTTACTATCTTGTCAATCTTGCACTGCCTTTATAAAAGCAGACCATCACTCTCCCCACACTTAGCTAGCGAATGGCCCCCTGCCTCCACTGCTCTTTTCACTGTTTCTTTCCATTAGTTTGAGTCTATTTATCAGAAGGCTCGTTTCAAAAGGTTAATCTCAATGGGCATCATTTGGCAGCGGCTCTGGTTGCAGCAGGTTATGAGCGGCCGGCTGCAGTGAATTGCCTTCTGTCATTAACTTCACAGCTTGCTACTCTTTGCCAGCACCAGCTTTAGCATCGGTTAGCTCATTGTTTCTGGTACGCCTGTTTTAGGGCACCTCAGTGGTGCAATTTGTCTCTGTCATCCAAAGTTGTAACCCTGTTACATTACACTCCTTTCTCACCACTTAAACTATTGCGCCAAAAGAAGATAATTTCTTTCAACACCAAAACTAAGAAGGACTTTTCGTAGATCGTACGCTGCGAATTGCGGGACCCGATGGTGCTTGACCATTCCGTGCTCAAAGTAATGGCATAAACTTCTGCTAGCAACATAAAGCTCTTGCGTTTGAGCTACAAAAAGTCGCCAGAGGGAGCTTCCAGACTAGGGCTCCCCAACGCTTGAGGGACCTAATGCTTTGGGGCTTCCTACTCTTAAGCTCAGACTCTGCTAGGCTGTCGCCGGGTCATTACGATAGGCATGTGCAAATTCGAGAAATTTTCGATTATGGTTTCGAATGGAGTACTATTCGATTTGAACTTCAAATGAAGCACTCACACTACTAGGTATATTTTGCACTGTTTCCTATTCTTTGAGGTAGTATATGCCTAAGCGCATTAGTAAGGTCTGTTGAGTGCGCTTCTCGCCAGCCTCTGATGCCATGCTGAGAAGCAACATCTGCTTCGTACCCATCGTGAGATTCGTGCATACTGCACTATTTCTGCAGAACGTAGCGTGTGCTTTGTACCGCACGGCGACAAATCACGCAGACACACTTCTCGCGTTGTGCAGGCTACTCGGGGAGCACCGAATAGACCTTTCCGGAAAATCCCAGAAAGCCTCGCGGCAATCCCGGATTGCAATGCGTGACGCAGAGAATTGTAGAGCTGTTCCGATGTACGCTCAGGCTGACTTGGGAGATTCGCATATCTTGGAAGCAGCACGATCCATCCTCTCTGGTCCCCGTGAATTCAAAACACAAAGCAAATAGAACGAATGCAAAAAAATAAATTTGACACATACTCTGTTTCTCCATTGTTCTGCAGCCTTTGCATTCTGAAACCATAAAACGTTCCACCAGCATCAACAATTATTTTTCTAATAATTGGCAATATCTTCAAAAAGACGGTGAAAGCGCTTACACCTCATCAAAACTACCGCATTTACCCCTGGAAAAGTTGTACCACTAGCGTTTAAAAATAAAAAAAAGCTGCATAGGGATATTTGTATATAGCCAAATTAGTTTTTGCAAAGGGAAAGGGGGAGAAGTTGACTTATTACAAAGACGTGCGTGATCCTGTATATTTTGCTTCGCTGCAGTGCAGCTCTTAAGGAAAAAAAGACAAGATCGCTTGCTTACACACGTTCGCTGGGGATTAAATGAATAAAGCTGTTTGCATGTTGATGTGACAACACACTGAAGTTGATGTTTTATAAAGATACAAACTAAATCACACCTATCCATTGCTATTATGCCAGTATACGTCATAGGCAGTGATCTATTGTGGAGCAACTTGCGTCATTGGGTGCTATTGTTTTTTCTTTTCAATTTCAAGAATTGATGAACTTTTAAATCTTATTGACTAGTTGGACTGCGATATGGATTTAGTATTTATGTAAGATATACATAGTTTACTTAAATTTTCATCAAAATGAAATGAGCTTGCTCAGTGGACGAATGGAAGCTTTTTAACAGCTAGTCCACATGCTAAGTTCGTATAATGAAATGGATCATTCTTAGAATGCCACTGAAGTGCATAATTGAATGACAAAATATTTTTTGTAACTGAATGAACATTTTTTACATTTTTATTGCACACTCAAACTCTACAACCCAAGCGTTAAATTTTACTCTCAAAATTATTTCAGTGGAATACCTATTTGATTCACTTTCGATTTCATATCTAATGTTACTATTCAGAGATGATTACGCTGTGTTCCTCGAAAGCGACTGCTACATTGGAGCTTTTTAAACAGAAAGGGTGGTTCTCATCAGAACATTCCTGTTGCCCTGTTTGGTGCTCTTAACCGCAACTAAACACACTGTTGAGTGTTTTGTGAGAATTAAACTGTCCGCTGTACCAATAATGTTATCAAGTAATTGCAGACGAGTGAACATGTGCAGAAGCAGGGTGTAAGATAGACAGGTGGGGAAACGAGAGCCAAATGAGCGACCGGATTGTGTCCCCCTCGGGTTTCTTTTTTTCTGTGGCGCCATCTATGTGGAGCACCGCGAACTCTCACTCCGGGTGGGCGACCGGTGGCGACCGGCTAAACTGACGGAGATGATTTCTCCTGGATTTTCAATGAAGGAATGTCGTGATCTCGGTTTATTTTGCGCGCTCTCCCATAAAGTTCCATGCAAATTCAATTCCAATTTTTTTCCTCTCGCCGCAGCGCCATCTGTCGCAAATCGGGGGTACCCGCAAGCAGACGAGTACACAATCCGGTCACGGCGCTGCGGTAGGCTTCTATGGGCCGTTTTCTCACCTGTCTATCTTACACCCAGTGCAGAAGACATTTTTTGTTTGATAGGCCGACTCACGAATCAAAAGGTAGTCTTTGTGAAGTGAAGAAAAACAAAGTACATGCTTTTTCTCTGGATCTTTTTTTTTTGCTGCTCTTAAGGTTGTTTTAAGATGACTAGGACTAATCACATTACTGGCCCCTGGGCATTGCCATCCACTGTAAGTTGACTAAGAAGACACTGTATGCGACTCTTGTCCAACCGCAATAGATGGTCTGGCGACGGCTTACTAAATAACCTGCTCTACAACCAATAAATGAGTTTGAAATGCAGGTGCTAATTTAAACACAATGTAGACATTTTCTTTTTTATACAGTACACAAAACGGTGTTATCTGAACTGGGGTACGGCTTTGGGGTCCGATATTTCATTTTGACCGTGTTCTGATGCCGTTTCCATAAAGGAGGGGTCCAGACCGCAAGTTCCGCAGGAAAGCTGTCGTGTTGTGTTGGGAAAATACGTCTTGTGTCTGCGTCTCTGTACACTTTCTGAATGACACTAGTATAATTTTGACTCTGGGGCTGATGTACTTTATCATTTGCATTTGCAATTAACAAATACTTGTTTATTTATTTTCTAAATGTATTTCTGACATATACTGCTACACCTTTCACAACCGCAGTTCAATCTCAATTATATAGGCGTAGTAATTTTAATGCATTCCAGTGTTTGACTCTTGTTCATTTATTTTTAAAATGTATGTCTGATATGTACAGCTACACATTTTACAACTGTAGTTCAGTCTCAATAATATAGGCATAATTTTAATGCATTCCAGCGTTTGACTTTCCAAGCACTTTTATCAGTATTTTTTTCTTTTCCTGATGTAGCTGTTGGCGTAAAATGAAGTATCTCCAATCAGCCCTTCTGGGTCCTTCACATTATTAAAACGTAGCAGTTAGTGGATCTCTAACTTACTAGCTCCGCTCAAGGCTCTACAGCATGGTACGATCTGCATCCAAAAGACGGCCCAATAGTGAGCTTCACTGTGTAACACACCTGAAATGTATGGAAAGCCCAGCTGCAAGCGTAAGCGAATGGACATTTGATTTAATCTCTGTCGCAGACAGGACAGTTGGATATTTTGTACTTCATAAGACGGCACATGCCCGTTGAACGGTTCAGCTTCCTTGTGAGCCGGATTTGGATTACGCATTATAGGTTACCGGTGCTGTTTCGTCTATTTTCTTTTCTTTTTAAAGAAATTATCTACTCGCTTTTTCGGGCGCTTTCTAGAGGGTGGCCCCAATGTAGGTTCATGTATCATGTAGCATCCAGGCAGGGCCATAACCAGGGGGGGGGATAGGGGGTTCTGACCCCCCCCCCCCCCCCGAAATAGACAACTTCCATAAAGCCCTGCATGCAACACGGCGCGCGTTGCACTCTGGGAACTAGTTGGCCAGGGAGGAGGGAGGCATGGTTTCGGTTTCGATCGACACGTCGACAAGTGATCGTTTTCTGGTCCCGAGAGCGTCATTTGTGGTCTCTAAACTAACCTAAATTGCCAGACCTCGAAGCTTTAGCACAAGCCTGAGACGTATAGCTTGTCTTAACACATGCTTGTTGTATTTTTGTACTTCAGCGCTCCTCTTAGCGTTCCAATCGAGGTATGTGGACGAGCCAGTGCTGGGAATCTCGACGCTGCGAAGCTCGGGGATCTTGCTTGTGTACGAATCAACAAGCTATAGCAACCAATTAGTACGCATACATCGAGCTCGCGCCTTTA